GCCGTAGTCGACCTCCGGGAAGCCTGCCGAGCACCCGGCCAGCAAGAGGGCGGGCTCTGGCGCCCGCGCTATCTCCTGCCCCAGCGTCCTCTCGCGGGGGGCGCCCTCGGCAGCGAGCGCGCCACGGAACCGTGCGCGCTCGGAGACCCTGCCGACGCGCTGCACATCCTTCAGGTCCCACTCGGTCTCCACGATCCCGTAGCCCCAAGGAGATGCGTCGAAGCAAGTGACCACCTCGCTCCACGGGCGTCGCGCGTCGGCCCGAAGGCAAGGCAGTAGTGCCTTGACCCAGCCCATTTCACGGACCACGCTCTTCCAGAGTGGCTGCTTCTTGGAGTAGGACGCCTGCGCGAACTCGAATGAGGAGTGCAGCATGGCCAGCCCCTCCCGGCGCAGCATCAGGATGGAGACCAGGTGGCCGATCAAACGCTCGAGCTCTTGGCCAGAGACCTTGGCCCGCCCCGTGAGGACATGCTCCAGGGCGCCGTAGACCCGCCAGAGCCGGCGACCCAGCACGCACCAGCAGCCCGTCTGCAGGTCGAGCTCGCATCCCTGCAGCTCGCCGCGCTCGGCCGGAGCAGGGCCTAGCTCGGAGACCACGCCCTTGGCCGCGAGCGCCGCCTGCATGTCGGCGACGGCGGTGGCGGCACGGGAGGGCGACTGGGACAGCGCGGCAAAGTTGTCTATGTACAGGACCTTGGCATCCTCAGTGTTCAAGTCAATGCCGAGGCACTTGTCCAAGCACCATGGCTGAGATGGCAAGACTGACTTGACGAGGTGAAGGTGTGCTTCTTGAATAAAGTGCACCGCCCAGCTCCAGCCCATGGGCACCACCTTGAATCGAAAGCGTACCTGGCCGCTCTTCAACGTCAATCCGCAGGCGCTCCGAACCTCCGGCGGCAGGAAGCGTCTCTCGATCAGCGGGAAGTTGAAGTAGCGCCTGCACCAGGGCGGCAATGCATATTGATAGAAACAGCAGTCGACGTCTCCAGAACTCATGCCGATCATATTGACTCCCGACGCCTCCAGCGAGGACAACGTCTCACCCGTCGCGAGTGCCGTGTGCTCTGGCGTGGTAAAGTGCATGTTAGGCGCCCTGGTGTCGCAGATGAGACGCAGCCGCTTGTCCTTGCGAGCCACAAAAAAACATGCCAACTTCCTCCAAAACAGGCTCCGGGCTGGCCTCGATCACCCCGGAGGTGTAGAGCTCCCCCAGAGCGTGGCCGTAGTCGTAGCCGAGCCGCCCAAGCTTCGGGTCCATGGCACGAGGAGCACCTGCATCACGAATTAGCGCTGCTGCCTCCTCTGGGGAACGCAACAGCCCGCGCCCAGTCTCCAGCTTGGTCTGCAGGTCAGTCGGGAGGACCTCCGTAAGAGCCACCTTACCCGCACCGATCTTGGGGAGAGAGATGTTTCCCCGCTGGTAGACTGTTCGAGAAACGGAGGCCTCGACTTCAGAGTAGCCAGGCCTGAGGCCCTGTAGCGTCGCCCACGCTTCATGGGGACTAGGGCGATCAACGGGCGGCGACCACTTGCCGTAGGTCGTGGCCAGCCGCCTCACTGCAGCACGTTGGGCCGCCGTCAGCGGGGCGGAGGCGGGCGCATGGCGCCCCTGCCCGCCCAGCTCGTTGAGGGAGGCGATGCCGTTGAGAAGCCACTGATCCTGCCGCCTCCTGGTCGCAGCTCTCCTCCGCGCTGCGAGTGAAGTGCCCCATGCAGCCCCGCCGCTCAGCATCGACATCAGCTCCGGACCAATTGGGATAGGAAGTGGGTCTCGATGACGCCCTCCGCCGCCGTCGTCACAAAACATAGTGCCGTATGTCTAGCACCTCCCCTTGAGAATAGTCGACCACTCGGGGGCAGGCGGGCGACCAAGCCACTTCAATGTAGGGATGGGGCTAGGCAGCCCCGTCAGCACAAGCCAAGGACTTTGCTTTTGACTTCGGCCTGTCTGTGCTGTTCTCGCCCACGCTACATCGAGCAATACTCTTTTCTTCACGTCCTCTGCGGCGCCCTTTGAGTACTGCTGCCCCCTCCTGAAGGCGGGCTGCCACCCCGCTGTGCAGTGCAGTGCGACCCACAACTCCTTCAAGCCCACGCTCTTGTCCCAAGAGGCTCTTGCGCTCGTCGAGCAAAGCCGACCCCCCAGCACTGCGAAGTATGCCCGCCTTGTGTTCTCGAAGTCTGTTAGCATACTGCTGCGCCACCCACAAGGTAGTCCGCGGCCTGCAGCCAGGGGAGTCCATCTGCGAGTTGGAGGTCGTGGTGTCCCCTGACTCGGCGAAGACTCTGACCCTGTTGCCGCCGCCACCGTACTTGACGAGGAGGGTTCGAAGAGTCTGCTCTGCAGCTTGGCGGTCCTGCCAGGCGGTGGGCGTGCCCTCGTAGGTATCGGCCTTCGCGACTGCCAGCTTGAAGCCTTCGGCAGGCTCGCAGATGCCCCCATCCCCGGCAATGGCGCCGGGCACGGTGCTTGCTTGAAGCCCGTCACTTGGTCGGTGGCCAGCGCAAGCCTCCAAGACAACCCAGCGAAGAACATCACCTGCGTCCGCGCGATCCTCCAGACCACCATCGAGGGCAGGCGGAGGCGCGGGCGCCCCTTGTGGCTCCTCGGGGAGGCCCTCCTGTTGGCAGATCTCGCTAGCGAGCTGCTTGCCCTCGATGAGCAGCCTCCCTTGGTGCCTCTTGAAGCGGACGATGTCTGTGCTGAGGATGTGGCCCGAGAGCTTCGTGGACAAGCCTCCAGGGGGGCCGACCTGACAGAGGTCCAGGGCGTTTGCAGTATCTTCCTCGTAGATGTCACTGTGTGGAGTGACCACCACCCATTTGGCCGTAGTGATCCTGCTGACCAAACTGCATTCATGCCAGTAGTTGTCCTCTTGCTCGTACTGACCGAGGACCCGCACGCCCACCCGCAAGTTCTCCAGGGCCTTCGCCGTCCGCGATGCTGCCATGGACCACCGACTGGGTCTCTCCGCGGGCACGTCGTCGTCCTGTCAAGCCGAGGACCTTGCGAAGCACTGCGCCCCGACCAGGCCGAGCACGAGCGAGAGGGCCACCCCGGGCCGGGTGTGCCTGGGCTCGGGGCAGGCTGGCGTGTATGACGGATGCCCGTGCAGGTGCTCCTGTCCGCGCCTGCCAGGCTGCCCCTTTCAACAGCCCGATGAACGCCTCCTTGGGCGCGGCGTCGAGGGACCAGCTGCAGTCGCACCCGCTGCTGCTGCTTGGATCCAGGTGCCCAGCGCCTGGACACCGACTGCCGCGACCCGATGAGCTCCCGCCCTGAAGAGGGCTGTGGCCGTTCGGAGAATGATATCCCGAAAGAAGTGCCTTGAGCGAGAAGGCGACAGACATTAGCAATCATTCTCGTGCATCACTTACAATGGCTTTCTCCCTCTGGGACCCCTCTCGGGCACGCCTTGGGGCTCTCTTAGGCCATTTTGGAGTTCAATTTTGCCGTCCTGGGCGCCTCGTGAACCGTCTTGGAACTCTCTTGGGGGCCACCTAGGCCGTCTTGGGAGCCTCTTCGGACGTGTTGGACGCGGTGAAAACCCAACAGGCGACCATGCGAAAAGTATACATTTTCCTATAGGAATGGGACCATTTTTGCTTATTGGACCTCTCTTGGGGTGCCTCTCGGAACGTCTTGGGCTGATTTTGGGAGCCTTGTGGCGCATCTTGGCGGCATTTTGGCGCCTCCTGGAGCCTCTTGGGCCGGAAGCTCGGAATTCGAGGTTGGCTTTCTCCGTCTGGGACCCCTCTCGAACTCGTCTTGGGGCTCTCTTGGGCCGTCTTGGGGCCGTCCTGAGCCACTCGTGCGCAGCCTTGGAGCGCTCCCGGAGGCCTCCTAGGCCGTCTTGGAGGCCTCTTGGGCCGTCTTGGACGCGGTGAAAGCCCAAGATGCGAACATGCGAAAAATATACGTTTTCCCATAGGAATGACACGATTTTTGCTTTTTGGGCCTCTCTTGGGCTGCCTCTCGGAGCGTCTTGGAGGCTTCTGGGACCGTCTTGGTGTCATGACAGGCATCTTGGAAGGCATCTGGAGCCATCGGAGCGCGTCCCGAAGCCGCCTGCGAACGATCTTGGACGGCGTCCGGCGGTCCGACGAGCCTCCGGGCCCCCCGGGGCCCACATTTGCGGTCGGGGTCCCGGCCCCGGGCCCCCGGACCCGGTGCGCCGTTATATGTATATTAACAGAGAGGTACATCCACACATCAAGAGGGAGAGGGGGGAAGCAGGGAAACGCTTTGCTAGGCTGAGCACCATCCACCAGGGCCCAGCAAGGCTGCAGGGCTTAGCAAGGCTGACGAAGCTTACCTGAGCTCAGCAAAGCTTACCAGGCGTAAGAGGGCTTAGCAGAGATCACCAAAGCCTAGCAGTCCCGAGCGGGGCGTACAAGACTTAGCAGGGCTGATCACAGTTCGCCAAGGCCTTTAACGGTTTTGAGCAGGCCCCGTCGGGCTTAGCAAGTTTTACAAGGCCTCAGCAGGGCTTACCGAAGCTTTGCAAGTCTTAGCAGGCTTTGCAGGGCCCAGCAACGTTCAACTGGGCGTAAGGCTTCGCATGTACGAGCAATGCTTAGCAACGCTTGCCAAGGCTAAGCAACTTTGAACAATGCTTAGCAGAGCTCACCAAATTCAGCTGGGCTTCGCACGGCTTACCAAGGTCAGCAGCGCGCAGCAAAGCCTGCCCGGGCATAGCAAATCTTTCCAAAGCTCAGCAGGGCTCAGCAAGGCGGACCAGGACTGAGCAGTGCCAAACAATGGGGGTCACGATGAGGAGACCGAAGGCAACACGAAAACACGATTGAAACTCGCTCAAGACAACTACAATCCCCCCGCCTCTCTCCTTCCCCCTGTGTATCAGTATCTTTCTCTCTCTCTCTCTCTCGCTCTCGCTCTCTCTCTCTCTCTCTATCTCGACATCGCTCTCGCCTTCTCTCTCTCTCTCTCTCGCTCTCCCTCTGTGCGTGCCCGCGCGCGGCGGACTGCGCCGATCCTCGGCGTAGCTCTTGATGTCCGCCATCTGGGGAGCGAGGGTGGGGGGGTCAGGCGATGCAATGTGGGCCTGTTTTCCACAACCACAACCATAAGTTAGAAGGAAGAGGAGGAGGTGGAGGAGGAGGAGGAAACCCCCTTCCCCCTCCAACTTATGGTGGTGGTGGTGGGAAACAGGCCCATCAATACATTCAGGAACTTGAGCGCTGCCGTGGGCGTGAACTGGCGGTGGGCGTGAACTGGCGGCGCGGCGCGCGAACACAAAGTCTCTGACCCAGAGGCCTCCTGGAGGGGGGTCCGAAGAGATGGGGTCGGGGGATCGCGCCGCATTGCCCGTGCATCGGCAACGCATCGGCAACGCATCGGCGACGTCGGCGTGGAGAAAATCGGAATGCCGCATCGGCGATGCATCGGCGAAGCGGCGTGATCCCCTCACCATCTAGGAACTAGGAGGCCTTACTTACAATAATGGCTTACACAACAACAAATCAAATAAAACAAATCATACTTTCATACAAAAAAGGCGGGGCGGATGGGGGGGCGGGGAGGCACGTGGACGTTGCTGAATGGGGGGGTAAAAGGGGGTGGAAGCGAAGAAACGTGCACCTTTCGTGCCCCGCTTGGGCCCCAGGGGGCCTCTCTCAAGGCCCCGAAGGTGCGCGACCTGCGCACCCTTCTCTTGACCTCTCCCCACCCCTTGTCGCCCTCCAGGTACGTTACGCCCGAGGCAGGAGGCCGCCCCTAGCTCTGGGAGGTCGCCGCGCTTTGCTGTCGACAGGGCGGGCCCGCTTCGCCCTCGCCCCAGCTGCTGTTTTGCTGGCCGCCTCGGCCCCCTCTTTCACCTGCAAGTGGGAACAAAGGGGGGCACAGAGGGAGGAGCAGGATGGAAGGGGGAGAGAAGGAGGAACGGCGGATGGAGGAGGGAGGGGGCAGAGAGGGGAGGGACAAGGCGGAAGGAAGGAGGGAGGGGGAAGGAGGGGAGGGGCCAAAGGGGGGCCGGGGGAAAGGGGAGGACGGGAAAGGGGGGTCGGAGAAAGGAAGGGGAGGGATAGAAAAACAGAGGGAGAGAGAGAGAGAGAGAAAACCCCGATCAATAGGTTTGTGCAACCTACGCGGTGCAATGTAAGTGGGGCGATGTATGCGATGCAAACGATGCGATTCAACATGCGCTGTGCAACTTATGCGGGCAAGCTATGCTATGATTCAACCTACGTGATGTAAGCTATGCGGAGCACTCTACGCTGCGCAATGTATGCGATATAACCTACGTGGCGCAGTCTACGCGGTGCAAGCTATGTGGTGCAATGTATGCGATGCAACCTACGTGATGCAATCTACGGGGTGCACTAATTCCCTGTTCGCAGTGAGTTGTCCATGCCACTGCTCGCACAAACATCCCACCCACCCACCCACAACTTGGTTTGCAAAACGCATGCGGCGGCGATTGCGATGAATGCTTGGTGTTGGTTGGTGCATCTCTGCGCCCACGCTAGCCCGCGCATGCTCGCGCGCGCAACGGCCAGCTAGTTTTGCGCGACCGACGCGAACGCGGTGGCACTGACCACTCGGCACATCCCAGCGGGCACTTCGTTGCGAGTCGGCGGCTTGGGCGGGCGCGGTATCATGGCCACGTCGACAACGGTAGACACCAATATGTTAATACCGATGTTGGCGACGATGTTGACAGCGAAAACGGGGCAGCCGGTGACGGCGCCGATGCTGATCACGCCAACGACGATGACGGCGTCGCCGCGTCGGTGAGGAAGGTTTTGGAAGGAGTTCGAAATGCGTGCTCGGCAGACGCGCGATAGTGGCCCGCATGGTATTGTCTAACACGGGCCGCGCCCGTCCAGGCGCGCGCAAGGGCGTTCGAACGCTTTCGACATGCGCGCGCGAAGCCTGTCTGGTAGCACTTTCCCAAAATATTAAACAACCCATGGTATTCTTGACAATTCGCAAAAGCGCGTGTGCAAGCTTTTCTTTGAACATCAGTTTTGCGAGACCCTTTGTTTTTGCATATATTTAAAACAATCGATTTGAACACATCTTTCGGACACCGGGGTTGTCCGACGAACTTCAGCATGCGCGGGCGACGACGAGCGCGCGCGCACTTCGTCACATTTGTTGCAAGGGATTATTTGCAGTTGTGATTGGTGGTGAACGAGTGCGCGCGCACAATATGTTTTGCAAGGGATGGCGGGGGGGCGATACTTACCGGCTTGGCTGGGATAGTATGAATTCACAATTCGGACGGACGATGGGGCAGAATCAGATGCACATCGCAATACGAAAAGGTGGGTCTGTAAGTCGGGGGGGAGGGTGGTAGAACCCATTGAGAATGCATGCGATGCGGCGACGGCGGCGGGCGGCGACGGGCGGCGCGAACGGCGACGGGCGGGGGCGGCGGCGACGGGCGGCGACGGCGACGGGCGGCACGGCTGCGATTCTGCGGCGAGGGTCGCGAGATGGTGAACCGTGGGGCGCGCGCTGGCGGCGGTGCGCGTGGGCCACTAATTACCGCCACGCCCTCCAAAAGTACATGCTGGGGCGATCGCAGACCGCGAACACCGACTGGCGGGGGGTGGGGGGCGGACGCTGGCCCTGCATCGCTGCGCGGCGAGACCCATTGCCGTTCCCCCGCTGTCACCAACGCCCCGCCCCATGCCAGCGCCAGCGGCGCAAGGAACTCCAGAGACATCTCGATTGGCGCGGCGGCGGGGTCGTCCGCGGCGAAGCGGGCGGAGGCGGGGCCCTCCCCGTCGGCGGCGACGCTCGAGTCCCGCGGAAGGCCCGCGGCGAATGCGCGCCCGCAGGCCGGGGGCGACGGCGGGCGGGCCCAGGCCACGGCCGCGCGGCCAGGCGTGCACGAGGCCATCCGCTCACTCATCGTTCGGCCCCTCCTCGAACTCGCCCTGGCCAGCGGCAGGCCCAGCGGCGACGTGGGCGACAGGGAGGCCCGCGGGGGCTGACCGCGGGGGGGCCCGCCGCCGCGGCCTGCGCCCGCCCCGCCGCCGCCGCCGCCGCGCCCGCGCCGCCGCCGCCGCCGCCGCCGCCTCCGAGGGGCGGTCGCAACGCCAGGAGCGTTCGTGGGCGGCGGCGCGGCGGGAACCCGCAGACTCGCCACCGCCGCGCGCAGCAGGCCCTCCGCAGCCCGCAGCAGGCGACTGCGGGCGTCCCGCCGCGAGGCCCGCCGCCGAGTGCGCTGCAAGAAACGCCCCGCGGCCTGCGTCGTCGGCGCCGCGGCGCTGCTGCATGGGCGCAACCAGGCATCGCCCCGCAGCGAGCGCGGCGCGGCTGCGGCCCACCGATGCGGACTTGAGCCAGAATGGGCACATGAACCACAATCGCAACGGAGGGAGAGACGGAAACCATAAGAAAAGGAAAAGGGGGAAGGAGGAGCGCTTTGGAGGAGGAGGATCAGGAGAAACCGGCCAGGGGCCAGCGAGAGGCGGGCACTGCCAGCCCGAGCCGCCGCTGGTGAACCTGCACCTCCACGCGCGCGTTCTGGCGAGCGCGCTCGCGCGCGCTTCGGGGGGCGCGCGCGTTTGGCCCGTTTGCTGCCGTGGGCGGGGCGCGCGCGCGGAGGCTCGGCGCGCCCCCGGGCCGCAGGAGGGCCGAGCACTGGAAAGACGTCCTGTCTCACCCGGCGAAGGGCCCAACCCGTCTGGAGGCCTCCCAGGTGGGGTCTGACAGGATGGAGTCGGAGGATCGCGCCGCGTCGCCGATGCATCCGCGATGTACCGGCGACGTCGGGCATGCATCGGCGCCCTCGGCGTGGAGAGAATCGGGCTCCACGACGATGCATCGGCGATGCGGCGCGATCCTCCGACCCATCTGCTTCGCGCCCATTCGGCTGGCCTTGACCTTCGCAGCTTCCTGCGCCTCTCACGCTGGACGTCCTTTCTTGAGTCTGCCGCCGGCGCAAGCAGCGTCTCGCAAGCGGCGAACATACGCATCCGCATCCGCGCCCTCGTGGTCTGGACTCCAGGGCGCGACCCCGTGGGCACGCAGTCGCACGGGGGCATTTATTGCGGGGCATCCACAAACGACGCCCCGCATCCACGGGGGCGTGGCCCAGGGGCCCGGCCCGCGAGGCCGTGAATATGGACATGAACGCTGGCATGAATTCTAGAAGCCTGCGCCGTTCGCGGGAGCGGAGGCGGGGAACGCGACGGCCGTGGGAAACTCTTACGCAGAAGGCATCTATACACCACCACCGTGCCAGTCCAGGGACATCCTGGCCCTGGCATGGTGCGTGTGCCCTTCTGGCCGAGGCCAGGAGGGTCTATGCACATGCGCCATCCTGGGGCCCAGGATGGCCCTGGCCGGGCCCGGTGGTGGTCTGTAGATGCCTTCGTCGGGACTCTGGGCCCCCCGGGGAGGCCGCACTCGGCGCGCTCCTCAGAAGCGACGGCCGCAGCATTTCAGCTCGATGTGAAGCGACCGAACTCTCGGCCCGCGCCCGCTCTCCCGCCCGCGAGCGTCGGCCGTTCCTCACGCGACCGCTCGCTTCTCGGCTCCTGCATCTCAGAGTGGTGGTGTGATTTCACAAAATCCTGGCGCGAGCGCGTCCAGGTTCAGCGTTGCCGTTTTGCCAGATGCCTCGAGATCGTTTGCGTCGGTATCAGGTGGTGCAGTGTCGCGCCACTTTCTCCCTCGGCAACCGTGGGTGAGCACGCAGATCTCGGGCGTAGTTGCGAGAGCGCCGGGCCTGATATACCCAAGGCGGGGGCCGAGGGCAAATCTTCCCCCCTGCCGTTGCGGCGCCATTGTGACGGTCAGTGCTAGTTCGTTCGGCCCCATGTTCGACTACCTGGCGGTGGCGAAGGCCAAGATCGTCCGTGTGCAGGAGACGCGGGTCGTGGAGGCCCGCCTCGGCGAGTCTCAGCCTCGGGCTAAGGGCATCGGCGACCACGGGATGTGGGCCCCTGCGCTTTCCGCGGGCGCTTCAGGGCCACAGGCAAATCACTGTGGAGTCGCAGTGCTGGTTTTTACCAACGCTATGATGGCGAATCCGCCTGATGGAGA